CGTCATCTAACCGGCTTAGTTGGCCCCACAACTCCTGCAGAGTGCGAAAGCGCTGATTGTTGTGCGCCTCAGTGTCTGCAATCATAGTCCTGTGTTTACACTGCAACGCCAAGAGCTTTTCCCTCTCCTGAAGCAGAAAACTGAGGAGGTTGCTGTTCGTGGTGCTGCCGACGCAGTCGGAGAGTGAACTCAAATTCTGCAAAGTCCTGTTTAGGTTGGTGCGGTCGGCGACGCAGAGGACCACCGCCAGTTTTCCGTTCTCCGCTAACCACCTGTGATGCAGTCCCACTTTTCGATTGAATGTAGCCATCAGGCGCTCCAGGTGGGCCTAAACGGAATGAAACCGTGTGCATATAGTGAATAAACCTCTCTCTAGAGGGACGAAATAATAAATACTTCAGGAGGACTATTAGGTAAAGAATGAATTGCGGACAATAGAGCATATGGCCCCACTTAGTCTTTACTCTTATTAAACACCTACTTATGTTATTTGAGTAGTTCTAATTGCCTTTCACCACGCCTACCTTAAGTGGTGTCATTTAGCTAAGCATTGGGTTTAAAGCTAGGGCTCTCGTTAGAAGTTTAGACTAAGGATAAGACTAGGATTGTGATTAAACAGAGGTCGGGAAGCTTTTGACTCAAAGAACCAAGAAAGTAAATATTTGGAAATTTATTTCAGTGAGAGCCATATAATATATTTCAAGATTGAATTCAATTAAATTTCAGTATAGTAAGCCTCTGAATTTATTCATTAGAGGAAACGAAATCGCAAAATCTGAAGTTTATAATTCCAATTTTATCTGAGAGAGCCAGATGTAATCACTAGAAGAACCACACCTGGCTCGCAAGCCATACGTTTCCGACCCCAGGTCTACAAGTTAGGTGGTGTTAGTACTAGACTAGGCGTTAGGGTAGGGATACATAGTTAGTGGTTAGACTTAGGGCTAGGGTTAGAGTTAAGCACTAGTGTTAAGACTGGCGGTTAAGTTTAGGGGTTAAAAATTTTGGTTAGGCTTCAACAAAGCTTTAATTTAACGAGTTAGGCTCTTGGCATTGTCAACAACCGTGATATGTTAATTGGCAGCTATCACAATATTGATATCTTAAGATGATATTTTTACGCTCTTTCTTTAATGCGAGTGAGCATCGCAGTTCACCTGAAGTATCTAACTGATGCCCTTTGGCTTAATATTCCTATCGCTGTACAGCTTCCAATGTTCATAATTTCAAGCTGCGCGCTCGCTTTTTGAGGCCCTTTTGGTGCATTTAAACAAACCAACATCATGAATATTATCTTTTTGCCTCTGTTTTAAAAAAAACGTTTATTGGATAGTTTTGCGTACGCCCTAATAAAACCTTTATTATCCCCAGTCCAGTATAGCAGAAGCACTTGTCTCGCCCGTTTTCTGAATAAAGAGACAAATTAATTCGTCAGCATGAAATTTAAATTTGCTTTTTGAATGAACGAACCCGTTCGCAGAGTGCCTCCTGAATTAGCGCACGAAGGTTTTGCTCCGCAGTGTCCACCTGCTGCCAGGCAGCCTGAAGATCTGCGATGGTGTATCCCTGAGGTGGCAGAAGCTGCTGGTGTCCGGAAGCCATTTGTTCCGTCCTAAGGTTTAGCCACATATCCTTGGAGAAAAAGAGAAATGGAAATTGACTAAAGGTTTGCGTAAGTGAGCTGACTGGGTCTCGTTATCAGCTGCCTACTTGGCCATAAAATTTCACTGTTGACTTTTTAAGCGCTAAAACGAAAATTTTCTCCCTTTTGGGTAACAGCGGGGTAATAATTATTCATACAGGCAAAACTGCGGGTTCGGAAAAACAGTTGAGAGGAAGGGGACCCTGTTGTTTGAACCAGATCTTTATTTTCTGACTCCTCGGACTCATGCTTGAACCCATAGCTAGAGGGAGCCTCAGATAGCGGTAATTCATGCACTAAGAGTCGCAGTTCTTATAGGATATTGTCGCTCTGTTACTGTCTATCTCAAAAGTAACGGCTCCCCTTTAAAAAATGTTTGTTATTAGTGCCAGTCGTTAATCGCTGACATTAAGTCCTACATCGTTGACGTTGGCGCTATAATGACTCCGCCATTAAGTTCACTTAAACGATGCATGAATAACCCTAACTAGACATGAATCTGAAATGGCAAGAAGATAAAGAAATTTACTACAGCTGCGTTATTCTAGCCCTTGAGTTAAAAAAACATAGTTTGACCTGGTGTAGTTTATAATTTCATAGCTGTGGGTGGCAAACAACTGTGTGTTAAATATTTCATTCATATAAAGAGAGCACAAAAGTATTTTATCGTGCTTCTTTTTATTCAAAATCTTTTTTTATATATTTATAGCTGTTTTTTAATTTTTTGAAAGATGGCTCTACATTTTATCATTATAAATAACTACATATAAGAGCGAATATGCCAGGAATTTACTTCTTTCTGTATCTTTTCTACTACAAATGTAAGTTTTTGTCCGACGTCATTTTCGCGAATGACCGAAAGCCTTATATGTTCTCGCAGTTGCTTTTGGGGTTTACGGTTGACCAGCTGTATATTTTGCATATAAGGAAAGTCATTTATTCGTACATGACATTAAGAAGGTTCATGTAACTCTGTAAATGACATGGACCACTTGCATACTTCATAACAAGTATAAATAAACAGCAGGATACAGTGATACTTCAATGGACATTTTATTGTTTTGAAATATTTTTATTAAAAACTTTCCTCGAATGATATCTAGGTTTCCTCGGAACCTAAAATTTAAAGTCGTAATTTGCCACCAAATGGGTACAATAATTGTAGATACCTCCCTTATCATATATTAAATTTTATCAGGGCATCAAACATAAACGAAAATGTGAATACTACTTGCGTAGCCATTGTGCTAGCCGGCGACGGTTTTTTAGACGGTTGAAAAGTAGTTCATTAAAAAGCTGGCATTCTGACGTAATTGAACTATCTTAGATTATGTTGCGAGAAAATCAATATTACAACATAGTAAAATATGTAGCCTGGTGGTTTGGATCGTTTTATTCCATAGCTGTGGGGAGTAAATTTCTGCCTCTTTATCGCATTCATGTAGCGGAATGCACGAAGTTGTTTTACTGTGTTTTCGTTCTCCAAATTACTCTTTACCGAGAGTCGCTGTTTTTACGCATTTTATTTCAAATATCATTTCAATTGTGTAGCTATAGGTAGGCCTAAAAGAAGACATTAAGCAGAAAGTTAATTAGTTTCAATGCTTTCTTGCACATAATTCGCTGCTTGAGCGTGGTGGGATCTCATCCTTAAAATCCCTATTACAAACAGTCCGGTTTAACACGATCTCAGAACTAGTGGTGACCCAGGAGGATTACACAACCCACCTTGGCCTGCAATTCTCGTGCAGCCAATGGTGTCCGCTTTTTTTTCAGTCTTAGTTACACTTTGTAATTGAATTAAGCGGTTGCCAACAGAAAGATTAAATTAAGTTGTAGAGGGCAGGTCTGCTTGGACAAAATACTGCCTCGGATCTGAATGGGTTTCAGGAGCATTTAGTCACGGTTAGATCGTCTTTTTGAGAGGGATTGCTTAGGTTGATCAGCCACTGCACTGTCTTCCAACCCCTGCTATCTTAACACTGTCTTTCCATGGGAGCAAGATGGGAAAGGGGAGAAGAGAGTGCGGTAGGTTTTGCTCATGTCGGCCGTAACTTTAAACCAATTCACGCGTGGGAGACTGCTGATGGACTCATTCCACTGGACAAGTTGTAAATGCCACCACTCACTTCGATCAACACGTTTGCTTTTGTTTATATTAAGCATACCAAAAAAGACTAGATCTTTGGCCTAACAGACAACTACTTTAGCTGTTCCCTGAAGGGGATTTATAACTTTTTTAAGTTTTGAGTACTGATATCCGGCCTCCCTCCTACAGTTTCGCGATGGGCGGCTTCTGTTGCAAGACTTTTATCTTTCTTATCAAATAATAGGTTTGGTCAGCATTGTGATGTTACGATCCTCCACACAAATGCCAGTGGGCGATTGGCGCCACCAGTTTTTAACTACAAGCTCATACATGTATAGACAGCTGTTAGAGCCGTCAGCTGAGAAGACATTTGGCCAGTTAGAAGAGACCCGGCGGGTTTCATTTTATCGATGAACAAGCTTCTGGTGTAATGAGGAAATGGAGAGTCATGGAGAACTCTAAAGCATCTGATAAGATGCTCTGATCGTAACTGTCTCAATTGATGTTTTGCGTGGAGCATTGAGTACAGAATCCAGTTGAATTGATCTCAGACTCGAAAAGGATCCGTAAACGAGGCAGCTGATAACTCTGACCCCGGACAGTTAAAAGTGGCCTTAAGGTAAGTAGACCGAAGGACTTTATGAAGAGTACTGTATTTGAATAAATTATGGCAAAAAATTCAATTTAGGTAAAATCATCCCGTTTGTGAAAATAGGGGTTTTTGATTTTTGGTGATCTCGCCGCTCCATTTACCCTCAGCAAATAGTCTTTTTCATGGATTTTTTTTACAACAAATTGACTATAGAAAATGAATGGACTTTTTCATATAATTAATTTCAAGCTTGACTTCTCTGTCGACAAGGATTATTATAATGTTCTACCATGACCGATAAACGTTGGTCAAAATATTAATATCAACCTTCAGTCTACGTCTCTAGGCATAGAAATAGACAGATGTACGCCAATTCTGCGATAGAAGTTATATGGGTGGAGCAACACGCAGGTACGGGAGAAAAACTAAAAAAAACATATCAAAAAAAGACGATAGTAGAGGAAATTGTTATAAAAATCTAAGAAAAAAATAATAATAAATCAATGACAAGGCCTTTGATGATTGAAGACGAAATATAATACAAAAAGAAAATAACAAATTAATGAAATGAGATATTAAAAAATACAAACCATTTGCCATTACTACTGGTCACGTATAACAGAATTCTGCGGTATTTGGTTTACACAGTGAGCCATATAATAAGCTGTTACCGCGAATAGTCACTGAAGATATTAAAAGACTGTTATTTTTACTTTTCCTCTGTTCTCTGACTGAATTCTCTCCACTGTTGCAATAGCTCTGTTTGGTCTATGTGGCGTCGAGCGAGCTGAAATTCCTGAAATCTCTTTCAGTTCACATCAAACATTCATTAGCTCAAATTACTCATGCGGTAAAAAGCCAAGTAAACTGGAAGTGCCCCCCATACACTTCAGTACTTGTATATTACTGTACGTTTGTTGGCAACAAGCTAACAGTACTTGGTTACGCCTCAGTAGCTGATAGATTGCAGTTCAGCAATTCATACTGACTTCCAGAACGAGCCCTAATAACTTGGCATGAAAGAGCATACGCTTGGTTCGCGCATTGCTCTTCGATGAAATTTGAAAATGTCAGAATAGAAACTGGGACCATGTCTCACAGGACACATGGCGAACTCTATGGAATTCACCGGGGAGTCAGATCTCCGTCTGTGGGTCATTCAGCAGCGCGAACTAAACGTGTTTCGTTATTTTAGCTAGCACCTTTTACTTGAATTGCGGCAAGTCATTCAGCATGAAGGAAACTTGTGGATCCAATACGGATACGCTTACCCAAAAAAATAATCACAACATACCTTTCATTAAACCCCAGTACTGTCGTACAATCAACTGCTTTATCAAACTCCTGTCAAAGCACAATGCTAATAACTCGGAAGAACAGCCATTGGCTGCAAACGTTTCGTGGCTATTAAAGTGGCTTATGCATTTAGGCTAGGCTAAAGGACTGAGTTCCCTGACGGCATCTTTTTAGAAGAAGCGCCTTACGATAACCTACGATCATATCCACCCCCTCATTCAAACAAATATATCACAAAAATATTTTGTTGACTGGAAAAGTTTGGCAGACAGGATATATTTGGAAACATCTGCCTGATCTTTTCTAAGAGCACATCGTTTTCGAACACTTTTTTGATTAATGAGGCATTTTTTAACCTACAAGGTTTCGTGCAAATACCCCGACGAATTACCTCTTATCCTGTGCTGGCAGGTCAAGTTTTCTCTGCGGCTTACTCGTCTGCCAGTAATATTTTTGATAAAATGTTTCCTTTAACCTCCTCCCACGAGTTCGGGCTTTGCTCGAAGAACGGCGTCGCCATGGCGCAACTCAATTAGGTGCAAAGTAGCCGCATGCAGCTGTTTAAGCAGCTATTTCCCACCAGATTCCGCCCTGATCCT